ATCATTCCAACTTGCAGGTAACTTCTCCTAGTGAAACATCGCTGCTTCATTCATTGAGATGGTCTTTCTTGTAAAAATCAGGGAGCTTGGGATTGGCATTGTTAGCTATAGTCCACTCGGACGAGGCTTCTTCTCAGGGAAGGCTGTGGTGGAAGAGATTGGCGATGACGATTTCCGCAAAGTATTGTTCTTGCAAGAAGCTTGTAAGGTTCTAAAGCGCTTGTCTATTTGATACAGACGGTTCCAAGGTTCCAGGGAGAGAACTTGGCGCACAACAAGATTTTGTACGAGAAGCTCTGCAAGATAGCTGCGAGGAAGAAGTGCAGTCCCGGGCAGCTTGCTCTTGCCTGGGTCCAACACCAAGGCGACGACGTTGTTCCCATTCCAGGACTACCAAGCTCCAAAACTTCGAAGAGAACCGAGCTTCTCTCCGAGTCACTCTCTCCAAGGAAGATATCGACGAGGTCAAGAGCGTAGTTTCGGCTGATTCCGTCAAGGGCGAGAGGTACAGCGACGCCCATATAACTAGTACATGGCGTTTGACTTCCTCGCTGCCTCTCTCAGCTTGGAAGAGCAGCGCTTAGAAAGGCCTGGAACTCATAAAACAATAAAGGAGTGTTGAAAAAGCAATCTCATCCCAAAGAGATGTTAGAGGTAGAGACGATGTGGTATGTAATTAATCTTCTTCTTTGTCATATAAAGGATTTCCAGCCAATTCTCAAACTATAGTCTATAAGTGGTTAATACTTTTTACCTTTAGGGAATTAGGTCGTAGGGTTCTTCGTCGCGGTGATGCCGCAGCACAGGTGCGCGCCCCGCCCAGAAGAAATCTCTCGTTTTTCCAGCTAATTGATTGATCCAATGTAGAATTCTCTGCAAGTATTATCTCCACGGCGCGTGCCTCAAGGGCGATTCCTGCCAATTCTCCCACAGCTTCGACGATCCATCCAGCAACGTAAGCTCTTTCTGTTCGATCCCCAATTCCATTTGTTCTTGGTTTTTTCTCGGGCGTTTTTCCTCGCAGATTTGTACGTTTTACCAGCGCGGTGTTTGCTCCTATGGCAGCCGCTGCCGCTACGAGCACGTAAGACTCCCTCGCCCAAAGCTTCCATTTGTTCCACCGTTTAATCCCGCTCCATCTCCATCTTCCACCGAAGATCATCCATCTCCAAAAACAGTTTTTTCGCAAGCTCCCAGCTCTTCCGCGACCACCTCCACCACCGCCACCACCACCTCTCCGCCAGCTCCATCGCCTCTTCTAAACGCCTGGCAAGAGCGTCCCCTAGTCCCTCCTCCAGCTCCATCGCCATCTCTCGCTACCTTCGACACCTTCGAGCCGGATCCCTGGGAAGAGTTCCAAGCTCCAGACACCGCAAGCTTGGATCTGGCCGATCGTCCCATCTGTTCTTTCGCCGCCGCCGGCTACTGCCCCTATGGAGACTCGTGCTCCAATCTCCATGGCGATCTGTGCGAGAGCTGCGGTAAGCATTGCTTGCATCCCTTTCGAGAGGCCGAGAGGGAAGAACACAGGGAGCAGTGTGTGCGTAGCCAGAAGCGTCTCGAGTTACTCCGCATGAGCCAGGACATCGAGTGTAGCGTTTGTTTGGAGCGTGTTCTTTCCAAGCCTTCCATGTCCGACCGGAAGTTTGGGATCTTGTCCGGGTGTGATCATCCGTTTTGCATCGCGTGTATACGAGATTGGAGAGGTGGCACTCGCCCCGGCATGGATCTGGAAACCATCGTTCGAGCTTGTCCGATTTGCCGAGTTTCATCGCATTACGTGATTCCCAGCGTTGTTTGGTATTCCAACACGGAGGAGAAGGAAGAGATTGTAAACGGATATAAGAACAAGCTCAGGTATGTCTATCGTTTTCTTTCTTGATCTTGGTTTCCAAGTAGCTTACTTCGTTTTTCTCGCTGCTAGTTCGATCGACTGTAAGTATTTTGAATATGGAAATAGCACTTGTCCGTTTGGAACTAGCTGCTTCTACAGGGTAAAGTTTTGTTCTTCGTTAAGTTTCCATCGAGCTAAGTTTGTGTGGATTGATTTCGCAGCACGCTTATGGTGATGGTACAAAGGAAGAAGTGAAGCTCCGGCACCTGGGAACCGCGGAGGGAACCACTGTAATTGCAAAAAATATCAGGTGAAACAAGTGATTTCCTTGTTCTTGAGCTCTAACGTGATCCTTTGGAAACAGGCTATCAGATTTCCTGACAAACTTGAAAAAATGAACGAGATAAGATCCTTTATTTTAAAAAAAGAAGAACATATGTAAAGAAGAAGAGGATATCTCAACTTGATGTTCTTGTTTCTTTTTTTGAGTTGGTTGTCAATCGGAATTGAACATAACAAGAGTGAAAAAACTTGTCATTTTTTCCACTCACCAAAATCCACCACATGAGCACTTGCCATCTCTAAACTCGTGGAACCTGTTCGCGTCTCTACACACCACCACTCGCCGCTCCACTCTCGATATAATCTCCGTGGCCTTGTGACAATCCTCGCAAACTCGCAAGTTCTTGGCGATCCTCACGCTCGTCCCTGGAGCCGAGTTGACGAGCGCACACCCGATCGCCAGCTTCTCGCTGTGTCCACACAGCGCAGCCTCCTTGTCCTCGTCGCTGATGTTATACAGCACACTGCTCACGTCGGGAACGTAGCCTTCCTCCTTGATCCGAGCCACCACTTCTCTCATCCTCGCGCGAATCTCCTCGATCTGTGGATGCGTCGAGTCTCCAGCTCCAAACCTGTGGATCTTCCCGGCGCGATCGACCCACCAGCTCTGTCCCTGCTTCTTCCAAGCCTTCGTATTCCTCCTCATCGCGTTTACTCTCGCGCTCTCCTCCCACAACCCGAGGCTCGCGTAAGTGTCCGCCATGAGAACGTACGCAGCGCCATCTTTCTCGTCGATCCTCACCAGCGACTCAAACGCCACCTTTCCAATCTTTGCGTTCTTCCACTTCCGGCAAGCCCCCAGCAGCGTCATCCACACGGTCGAGTTTGGCTCGTAAGGCATGCCTCGCACCATCGCCACCGCGTCGTCGAGATGGTTGGCCCGGCCCAGCAAGTCGACCATGCAAGTGTAGTGCTCGATGCTGGGAATTATCACGTAGTCAGAGCACATCGCCTGGAAGTATTCCTTGCCCCTGTCCACGAGCCCGGCGTGGCTGCAAGCCGTGAGGATCGACAGGAAAGTTACACCGTCCGGCTGGAGGCGTTCCTCGTTTTGCATCCTCTCGAAGAGATCAAAAGCCTGCTTTGTGTCACCCTGGTAGCCATATCCTGCTATCAAAGCGCTCCAGCTTATCAAATCCCGCTTGGACGTTGAATCAAACACCTGCTGAGCTTCCACCAGGCTGCCACACTTGCCGTAGAGACTGATCAGCGAGTTCACCACCAAGTCATCTTTTCCGTATCCAGCACTGCTGAGCTCGTCGTGGATTCTCCTTCCGGACTCGAGAGCCGCCAGGCTGCTGCAAGCCTTGAGTACCGAGACGTACGTTGGAACATCAGGCACGAATCCCTTCTCTTTCATGCGTGAGAAGAGCTCTAGAGCCTGCTCGCCTTCGCCAGCTTGAGCGTAGCCCATGATGATCGCGTTCCATGATACTGCTGTATGGCTTTTCATGCCTTCAAAAACCTGACGGGCCTCGGTCATGCTTCCACACTTTGCATACATATCCACGAGAGAGTTAGAAACGAATGTATCAGATTCGTACCCGTGCTTTGAGAGCTGCAAGTGAATTTGTCGTCCTTTCGCTAGCGCTGTAGCCTGTTTCTCGCCTTCTTTGTTGTCACCCAAGCTTGAGCAGGCCTTCAAAGTAGCGACGAAAGTCCTAGCATTGGGCTGAAAACCTTCCGCTTGCATCCGAGTAAACAAATCGAGAGCCAGCTCTGGTTGCTCTCCACTCTGAGCGTAGCCAAGTATGATCGAAGTCCATGACACCAGGTTACGCTGCTTCATCGCCTCGAAAACTCGCCGGGAATCCACCATGCTGCCACACTTAGCGTACATGTCCACCAAGCCACTCGCCACGAATAGATCAGACCGGTCATGTCCAAATTTTGAAAGCTGAGAATGGATGGCAGTGCCTCTAGCCAAACACTCGACTTTCACGAGCTTTCCTTGAACCTGTTTCCCCACTTCCTTGGCCGCAAGGCTAGTGCATGCGTTGATAGCAGCCAGAAATGTTCGAGGATCTGGCACGAAGCCTTCGTCTTGCATCCTCGAGAATAAATCCAGAGCCTGTCCTCCATCACCGCTTCGAGAATAGCCCAAAATCACTGCAGTCCACGATATCAAGTCCCGCCTTGTCATCTTGTCGAAGACATTCCGTGCATCCTCCATACTTCCACACTTGGAGTACATATCCACGAGAGAGCTCGCAACAAAAGCGTCACGCTCGTAGCCTTTGCTCGCAAGCTGGGAATGTATCAACCGGCCTGTCTCCAAGCTAGCAGCCTTTGTGACTTTCCCATCAGCCTGTTTTCCGTCCTCTCGAGTACCAAGGCTAGAGCAGGCTCTGATCGCAGCAACGTATGTTCGCTCGTTAGGCGACACACCTTTCTCCTGCATGAGCTCGAAAAGCTTGAGAGCAGTCTCCGGCTCTCCACACTGAACGTACCCCGAGATGATCACCGTCCAGGATACAACGTTGGGATGACACATGGAGTCGAAAACCCGCCGGGCATCAGCCATGCTTCCACACTTGGAATACATGTCCACGAGTGTGCTCTGAACGAAGATGTTTCCATCGTTACCACTGCTTATGATCTCGGAATGGATCCTCATGCCCTTCTTCAAGTCTTTCAAACCGCTGCATGCCTTCAACGCCGAGACAATGAGAGAAATGCTGGGCTTCACTCCCTGCTTCTTCAAACTGTCGTAATTCTCGAGCACCTCTTTCGCATCGCGGCTGTTCTTCTTCGTCGTCAGCTCGAGCTGTGACGATGGCGGAGGAGTTCTTTTGGTGTGGAAGGCCCTGAAGATCCCCCTCAAAAAGACCCACCTCATTCGTTCGCATTTTTCTCCACCTGCGCTTGCCTTTCCTCCATATATAAACCCTACATGGAGACCCTGTCACTGTTTGTTCCTCTCCCAATCCACCGGCAGCTTCCATCTCGAGTACCATCGTATGGAGACCCTCCACCAAAACGGGAACTCAAACAAGCCTTCCACTGGCTCGTCAACCGGTCCATCCACCGTAAGTGGCAACCAAACATATCTCGAGTGCCGCAACTCTGTAGAGTTCCACCTATCCGCCATGAAGAGGAAAGTGTTGGGAAGCCCAGGCAACGGAAGAACAAAACTTCCCTGCGAGAAGAAAGTCGTCGATCTAAACCACGACGTTCCACCCACGCATGGATTCCCGGCAGTCTCCCAAGGTCCCAGCATGTTTTCCGCTACATGAACCAAAGCTGTGTTTGGAGCCCATCCTGTACAATCGGAGGTGACCATGTAGTAAATCCCGCGATGCTTGAAAACTGCTGGAGCTTCCCTGTGTTGATCCACAAACACCCTCGACATGACGTTCCGGAACTCGAGATAGTCGTCTTGAAGCGGAGTGATGTGTAGAGCACTGTTTCCTTCCGAGGAGTAAACGACGTAAGCCGTGCCATCTTCGTCCTTAAACACTGTCATGTCCCTGCTCTCGAAAGCGTGAGGCTGCTTGCTTCCCAAGAACTCAAACGGCCCCTCCGGTCGAGAACTTACAGCGACACCCAGCGAAGCTTTGGTGTAGTTTGCACTGTCAATGTGTAGCCACATCACGTACTGCTGGCTTCGTTCGTTGTAGATAACTTTCGGCCTCTCCAAAACGTTCTTGTAGTATAAGTCACTGCTCTCGTCTTCCTTGTCACCTTCGAGAACGAGTCCCTCGTACTTCCAGAGCCAGAGATCTTTGGAGGAGTAGCAACTCACTCCAATGAGATCAACCTGTGAGTTTTCATTAAAAAAAAAACTATCAGTCCATCTTTGTACGAAAGGAAACTCTCTCGATCTAGAAAGTTTTTCTCACTCGAGAGCTAGATCTAACGAAAAAAGAAAGAGAGAGATGCTTACTCTGGCTAGAGACTCGTATTCCGTGGGAGCGTAGTATGTAGGACCATCCTTGTTCTCACCATACCAATAAAAAATTCCAGTGCTTGGAACATAAAGAATTCCTCCACCATGTGCTTGAATGGAATTCCCGCTGGAGTCGAGCCAGTGCCTTCCTGGGAAAAAAAAATTCCTATCCTGCGCTGGAGCATTGACAGGATCTAGAACGAGGCCAATGTCTGGAAAATCCGACACATTCCTCGCGGAAGAAGCCTTGAAAATTTCTTCCTTCTCCAGCATTGTGAGATTCTCGTACCTCCCCTCGCCGCCGCCCAGCGATCGCATCATCCGCTCCTCCGTCCTGACGAAGCTCCCGCCGCCGCGCCTGTGCGAGCGAGGATCGTCGAAGAGCACGAGCTGGGGCGGGAAGAACGCCATGTAGAGCTGCATGACGAGAATCCATGCCGCCAGGGACCAAATCAGGGCCGAGAGGAAACTGCGGCTGCTGAGAATCATCCTTCTTCCCGGCGCATCGATGAGCGATCGAAGACTTGGCGATATCGCCCCCCTTTCTCTCGCTGGAGCATCACTATCGCCAAGGAACCCTAATTCCTCCATCGTTGTTATAAGCTTAAAACATAATTAAGTTAAACACTGACGCCATCTTTTAGACTTTTTTTATTTTTTTAGTTGAAATTTTACATCCAACGGCTGCCTCTGTTTAAATTATAAACATGTTTATAGTATTTTACCTTTAATGTGCTCACGTCAAAATTGTAAATTTTGTTTCTTACCACCTTCTGGTCTTAGCTGTAGCTTCTTTGGATTTTGGACAGTTCTCCAAAACTGTCCAAATCGGACACCTTCTTTGGATCTTGGAGAACTGTCCAAGATCCAAGGATGCTTGATCACTTGATCTAGTGTCCATCTCGTCCTGGGATCAAGATGTAGAATGCCCATTATCAAATTATCACATCCACAGCCCAATCGCCCGTGGTGTTTGATCGTGGCAATGGTCAGCTGGAGCGGCCGCTTGAGCCGGCGATGCTGGAGAGCTTTCGAGACTTTGGGCGACTTTGCTTAGATAAGAGGGAGAACGACGAGTGCCCGGCGGATCTTTTGCACCGGGAACACGGAGTCTTACCACGGGTTTCTGGTTGACACTATAAACTGGAGGGTGGTGAAGGATGTTGTTGGTCGTCGCCCAAGTGCCCAGGAGCGGATGTTTGTGTTTCGAGCCTGGGACGTGAGCTCGTCACTGGATTCCAGGGATCCTTGAGGATCCAACCATCGTGTCTTTCAAGCGGTTCTTGATGACTAAACAAGCTTTGGTTTCTCTCGACAGAGAGGAACACAGACGTGTATATGGTGGAAGCGGCAGCCAGAAAGAAGCAAAGCTCACGGCAATGATGCTGAAGCCAAAGAAGCTACAAAAAACTTTGAATTGTCGAGGTCCTCATTAAAATCGAGAGTTCTTACAAGCTTAGTACATAACATCAGTGATCCATCCATCATCTTTAGAATAGCTTGTGGCAGTGTTAGACAAAAGATTATCGGGCCTCCTTGGGTGCCTGGGTACCACGGTGGGGGTTGGCCATACCGCAGTTGGCAGGGACACAACACGGCAGTTCTTCCATTATTGATGCGGTGACACTTTTAAAAATGCTGCTCAGGAGACGAGAAACCGGTTTTGGAGGAATCCAGCTCAGTTAGACCACGAACTTTGATTCTAGAGCTTCACAAGGAAAGACTTCTACGGGGATAATCACCAGGGAGTTACAGCCATACTTATAGAGAAGAGACTGCCAAGATGTCATAGCCTGATTCTCCAAGTCGGATGCAGTTGAGCAAGACAAGGCTGATGTGTGCCGCAATTTTTGACAGCGCCAGAGCTGTCTCAATTTTCCTTGTTTTGATTTTCGTCTGAGAAAGCTCTTTCTCAGTCTCTTCTAAAAGAATTTGCAGAGCTGTAACATAGAACCCCCCCAGGTGACATGGGCAAAGCATAGGTTGAGTCATTTCAACTTCACTGGATTCAGGGAGTTTAGAAGTGCTGACAAACTCAAAAGGTATACGGAGGGCCTGATTGCAGATACCTCCGACTTCGATTTTGATCGCCTTGTAGCCTTCAGAAAGGGATGTCTGCCAGTGCCTGATATAATAACTTCGCTGTCAAAACCGATTTCATATAGAGTGAGCAGTAGCATGTCAAGCATCGAATGGCCCTGAGTCTGTGTGGTAACACTCAAAAACCTGTCCTCCAACAAATTTGCCACCACTTGACACTCGTCCAAGACCACTACATGATTTCTTTTTTCAATGTGCTTAGCTTATGAAGAAAACACCAAAAACATGGCCGAGTTCTTGCTCATCGTTGGACTTCACAAGAGTAAGAAGACTCCTCGTTAAATACTCCAAAGGATCAGGCTATCTATCCTTCAACTGTTTGAAGAAGGCCCACACAATCGTTTCATTAATAAAGAACAGACAAATCCATGAAGAAGGTACGAGGAGATTCAATGGACAAAGCTCCACCACCTCAGGGAGTTCCTTGTATGCCTTGAAAATATAAAGTCTGGCGATGAAAAGCCCAGCAATGCAACAGCTCAAAGGTGTAGGAGAAATTGGCCCAGTCCCAGGAATATAACTCAAGAAGCGTCAATGCAACATAATGGAGGTCCTTTGAACCCTCATCACGAGGTGCATGCTCTGAGAGGCCACACACACACATATATATATGCAATACTTTTCAGAGGCCAACTCATAACGAAAACTCACAACTCCCAGAGGCTCCAACGAAAATACACTCACAACTCACAACTCCCAGAGGCTCCAACGAAAAAACACAACTCCGTCCTAGAGGCCTCAAACCGCTTACGAGAAGTGACCAAATTCTCGCTCTCTTAACCCCTGGAGTAGAAGAGTAGGCCTGTTGTTGATTGTACATATTTCAGTCTTGGTCCGCCTGTAGGGCCGTTTGAAAGCACCTCCTGGCATATTTGGATAGTCTTGCTTTATATCCTCCCAAAACATATCCAGCAGCACAAAGAGAGACAGGTGATTCACAAACTTGGAATTCCAGAAAAATGTTCCATTGAAGGGCTTTCGCTATATAAGATTGCCTTCCAAATCTGCGGGATCCTTCACAATCTCCACAAACGATATCCGGGCTTGAAAGTCATGGCACGAAGATTTGCGTTTGGCAATGTAAGGATTCTCTTCTTGTTGGTTTGCTCCTAAATTTTTCTTCTCATGCTAGCCGGCCCAGACCATCGATCACCTATAGGCACATAAACGAGGTGAAAACAGAAGATAAAAGTTGTACAGGCTACCTTTAAAACCCTAAAATAGTCTATCTTAATCCAACGGTAATGTTTAGGTTAGAATATACCAGAATGATTTAGAGACAGCTTACTTTTCATTATAAAGGAGATATTTTCTTCTTCTTTCGTGGATATGCCTCTGGCTATGGCGACCGCCTCTTCACTCTTGTTATTGCCACACAGGGCACACGCGACGCATTTCACTCCCAGGTGCTCCTCCTCCTCTTCTTCTTCTTGTCGAGATTCTTGCGGTCCAGCGCCATTTTCCCGCCGATCGATCCTTCTCCCTCCCACATTCTTCGCGATCTCCATCCTCCATCGAAATCTCGGGTTGCAAGAGCAAGATCTCGCGCTAGCAGCGGAGAAAGGAGGAGAGGAGCTAGGGTTTAAGGTGTTCGAGGATCCTTTCGATGGCTACTCCTTCTCCTATCCGGGATCGTGGTTCCAGGTCCGCGGCGCCGGCGCCGATTGCTTCTTCCGGAGCCCCGTGAATCTGGATGAATCGGTGACGGTGGACGTGAGCTCGCCGTCGAGCTCGCGATACCAATCGATCGAGGAGCTGGGATTGCCACAGGATGCCGCGCAGGGATTGCTCAAGCAGCTGTCGACGGAGTTCATGTCTACGAGGCTGGGAGTTCGCAGGGAGATCAACGTTCTCTCGTCGCGATCCAGAGTGGATGGCGATGGCCGCCTCCTCTACGAAGTGGAGGTAAGTTCTTGGCCTTCTCAGTTCTTCTCCTCGAGCTCAATCGATTCTTTCTTTTGCTACCACCATCTTCTTTCTTCATTGATCATTTCTCTAGCATCTCCCTTTAGCTCGATCGATTCTTTCTTTTGCTTTTCTTCTTTGATGATTCTTCCAATCTTCTCCAGTGACTACTTCTTCGCCTTTTCTTCTGGGGTTTTGCTTGCGCGATTCTCGATTGTCATTGCAGAAAGCCATTCCATTGTTTCCACGATCCAATTTTTGTTTCTTCTTCTTGTCGTTGATTTGCCAAGCTTTTTGTCAAAGATTTGTGCTCACAGCTCCATGAATTCGATCGCTTCATCGCAGGTGAACGCCAAATCTTTTGCCACGAACAACCAGATGGCGATCCTTCCCCAAGACCGCGTCATGAAGATCGAGTGGGATCGCCGCTACATCTCGGTGCTGGGCGTGGAGAACAAACGACTCTATCAGTTAAGACTCCAAGCGCCAGAAAGAACGTTCGCATTGGAGGGTGACGATCTTAGAAGGATAATGGATTCCTTTAAAATCTCCAAGATTTAAGTCATCATTAAAAAGTTTTGAGAGAATTCTCACGTCGGGGATGTAGCTCAGATGGTAGAGCGCTCGCTTAGCATGCGAGAGGCACCGGGATCGATACCCGGCATCTCCAAACGATCTTTATTTTTTCCTTAACAAAGAGTATATTTTTTTTAAAACCTTTTGCCTTGCTGTGTTGTTTAGCTCCCATTGTCCACAGCGAGTTCTCTTTGCTAGGGCGCGCGGGCGAGCGTGGGCCTGGCGCCGCTCGTCTCTATCGATTTCTATGGATTTTCTGGTGGCGATCGCGAGCGCGATGCTGGTATTGCTGTGGAGGAGCTCGGTGAGGGCAGATTCTTGCATTTGGGAAACAGCAATTGAAAACTATCGCTACAGCTATAATCTCGCGGGTCCGCTGCGCGGGTTTGTCCATGGAGTGCGCAGCGAAGATGGGTATGGCATTCCTTTCCGGGCGTTACTCTCTCATCGATTGCTTCTTCTCCTTCCAGGTTTTACAAAGTGGTCCAGAAGGATTCCAACGGCGACAAGACAATCGTTTGGTTCCAGGTACGAAGAAAAAAAATTTGCTCCATTGTTCTTAGCGAGAAAAAGAAAACCCCGTGATTCCTTTTCGTTTCTCTGTGTTTTTCTCTAGCTATGCGAGCACATGAAATTCAATCACGATCCTCCCATTTGCCAAAGATGCGAGGTAACCAAGAGAAAAAAGTTTTCCTGTGATGGATTGGAAGCTCACTAAAACTTATGGAAGTAGACTTGCGGAGGACCCGATCACTGTGGCGAGACGTGCAGTGCTCTCGAGGCCGTCACACACTCCGGTACTTGGTTCTTTTTTTTATCTTCCTTGTGCTTCGAGCTAGCAACTTTCATTATCTTCCAGGATTTCCATTGTGTAGGACCTTGGGTTTTCCATCGACTACGACGTATTCACTCATAGGTACGTGGCTTGCTACAATACTTGACACGTAAAAGCTGATTGTTTGTCGAATCTTTAGACAAGCGCAAACCAGAGCAAGGTCTGATCGTCGACATGGTGGCCAATACTTCTCAGGACGCGTGTTCCTTCTCAGTATCTGTCTACTGCAAGAGAACTGGTCAACAAGAGGTTAATTCATGTCCAAGAACACTGTCGCTTAAAGTGTTTTTTAATGTCTTCTAACTTGTTTTTGTTTCTTTTTGCTTTTGCAGCTCCCAACTTCGGTTTCTGGAGATGGCTGCCACTACGTATGCGTTTTTTCTTTCACTCTTAAACGTACTCTGTGTTTGACATTTGCATTTTCAGAGGGCAGTTCTTAAACACCCGGCAGGGTGTCCTGTGGTGACGCGCCTCGATGGCGGAGGTCTCGGGTGGTTTAGCACGTTGCTTATTGTGTAAGTATGCTTTATTCTGTGCTCATTGTTCTAAGTTGATTTTCTTTGCTGTAGATTACTGTGCTTTCTAGTTGTGTATATGATAGCAGCGACAATTTATCGAAGAAAAGCGCTTGGCATCGTCGGTGTGGAGGTAATTCTTTGTCTCGTCTATGGCATTGCATAAAGCGGTGGCTTGAATTGGTCTCTAGGCGATTCCTCACATGGACTTTTGGAGGTCTATTCCCTCGAACATTCAGGTTTGTTATGTTATTGAAGGTGCATTGATGTCCTCTGACGAACCATTGTTACTGCAGTGGGGTGTGGAGTATGTGATAGGCAAAGTCACTGGCCTTTACAGACGAGTTACGGAGCCATCTTATATGCGGGTCAATGAGTAGCATAGCGGATTTTTTTTCTTCTTTTGAGAAACGCTCTTGGCTATTTTCTTTCGATTGATTATTCAAGAGCGTGATTTCAGAGCTCTTCGGGTGTATAGGAGGCTGCGATTTAAGTTGGCTGCTCATGTAATATTTTCTCGCTTTTTTCTTTTTCAGAAATCAAATGGTAGCCAGTCACGTTCTTCATTTAATGAGGTAGGACGTTTTCCTGTGACGCTCAGTATAAACCTGATGTTTGATGTTTCTTTTTGTCTTACAGGAAAAGCTTGGAAGAAGATAAGCTATGGCGTCACGATTCTCAAGCGCTCTACTTTTGGTGTTTTCTTCTGTATTTGCCATTGTGAGTTCTCAGCAGGAACTTCTTGGCAAAGTGGAGGAGAACTTTTACGAGAAAACTTGTCCTGCTGCGGAGCGCATTGTTCGCGATGTTGTCACTTCCCATTTCGGCAGGAACCGGACTGTTCCAGCGGGACTTCTTCGCTTGTTCTTCCACGACTGCTTTGTGCAAGTATGATTGCTCTTCTTTCGTTGATTACACTCGCATTGGTTCCTTGCCTGGATGTAACTACAGGGATGCGATGGATCCATCTTGTTGGATGCTTCGGAGGACGGCTCCGTCATTGAAAAGGAAGGTCTACCGAACAGGAACTCGGTTCGAGGATTTGATGTCATTGACGATGCCAAGACAAGGCTGGAGCGTGTATGTCCGGGTGTTGTTTCCTGCGCGGACATCGTGGCTCTAGCCGGAAGGGACGCAGTTGTCCTGGTAAGAAAGAGTTCTTAGTTCCATTCCATCACTCACTCTTGCATGCTTACGATCAGGTTGGAGCTCCAGACTTCGCTATGCCGACAGGACGTCTCGATGGAAGAATATCACGAAGGTCGGAAGCTGATGCTCTTCTCCCGGCCCCTTTCTTCAACGCGACACAGCTCAAGGCTAGCTTCGCGCAGCAAAATCTCACCGTCGAGGACCTCGTCCACTTATCAGGTACCGAAGGTTTCTCTACTCCACAAATTTTCTTATCAACTTGCTCAAACAGGTGGTCACACTATTGGTAGATCACAGTGCCAGTTCTTTTCCAACAGGCTCTACAACTTCTCTGGAGGCAGCCCGGATCCACTCCTCAACCCCTCCTACCGAGCAGAGCTGCAGCGCCTGTGTCCACAAAACTCTAGACCCACGGATCGAGTGACACTGGACCGAGCCTCGGAGTTCAACTTCGACAACAGTTACTACACAAATCTAGTCGCGAAGAATGGATTGCTCACGTCGGACGCGGTTCTCACAGTCGACAGCGAGACCGAGAGCATCGTGAGATCATTCGCGCGCGATCCCGACAGGTTCCAGCTGAGGTTCCAGAAATCTCTGTTGAAGATGAGCAAGCTCGGCCTCAAGAGCAAAGCGAATGGCGAAGTCCGGCGTCGTTGCAACGCAATCAATCCCAAGAGAATGGAGGAGGAGAGCTCGCTAGTCACTGCCATTACCGACGCTATAACTCGAGCTCTCGCCTTCTCCAAGTAAAAAACACCAGCCACAGGGCCACATAAAGTAGAAGAAGTTGCAAAAATATAAGTTGTGTTACCAGAGAAGTCACTGAAATATACACACGTACACGCGCGTCCATCCTTTCTTCTCGAGTTTTTCTTCTCGGATTTTTCTTCTCGTTCTCGTGACGAGAAACACTCTTCTCATCGAATTGCTTTGTATGCGGTGGAAGTGGCTCGTTTTGCAGGGAGCTTGCGTAAGATGTAGAGCACGAGAGCCGACGGGAGTATCTCCACAAGCTGGAAACGAGAGATGATTAAAGTTAAAACTGTACTGGAAACATTTACACTAGAACTTACCAAAAAGTACAGGAAGTTCAAGATTGGATGATAGAGAACATCAATCTCAGCCTTCTTGTCGAAAGCAGACCATGCCACCTGCGAACAAACAAAAGAAAAGAAAAAAAATAAACGCGCCATTGCTAGAAAACTTGCGAAAGCGAAAGGATATACATACCACCACAGAGCGAATAGTGAAGCACGTAAAGCAAATGGCAGTAACGCAGCCAACTTCACGAAGCTTCTTTCTCCGTCCCTTTGATTCGATGGGAAATCTTCGTAGCATCAAGAAGAGCCTTCCTCCATACAAGAGGAAGCCCAAGGCACCCGCGAAAGAAACTCCTGCAATGCAAGGAAAGTGACGATTGTAAGCGAGGAGAAGAAGAACAAACTTAAAAGATTTTAGCATGCCTGCGAAGAAGACCCGGGAGAAAATGTCCCACACAAGCATCGGATCCCACCATTGTATCAGCCATATCGCAATCTGTGACGAGATTTTTAGTTTCATGACAGATGAAGAAAAGAAGGAGGGTACCTGGAAAACATAGATTGCCGTGTTGATGATCAGGAACGACGGTCTCAAGTTTTCGGTGGGAAGACTTAGAGCCTGTGATCGAGAAAGAGTTGTAAGAACAAAGAAGAAAAATGGCAATACACTTGAACCTGATAGAAGATTTCGGCCCAGAACAAAACGAGCAGTGTGTAAGTCGAGAAGAAAAGCAAACCAGGAAGGTCCAGCAAAAAGGATTGGAGAATCTGCACAAACACCAAAAAAAAAAAGAGACAGAGAGAAGGTTTTGAGGCACTGAAAACCATCTCCTACTGGATTTTAAAGATAGACTTACGTGAGGACCGACGTGCTGAGCGGGCCTTCGAAAGAGGAAGACGCTAGCTCGCACTACAAGGAAAAGGAAAGCATTCGTGAGAAAGAAACCTTGGCTATGGTAGACACTTACCAGCGCATACGAGAAAATTGAGCAAATGGAACACCTTTTGAGTCGTCCAGCCATAGTCGCGAACCCTCCTGTGGATCCGGATGAGTTGCACCTAGAGAGCCGAGAACAGTGAGACCCACAAAGAAAAGAAAATGGAGAACTTACAAGAGCTACAATGGCGATGGCGGCATATAGAGCAGCCAGTGCGTAGAAAACCCCGTCTTGCCAGGATTTAGAGCGATTAAGCTCCTCCCACCAATCTTTGGCCTTGCTCAAGCTGTGATTCAAGCTGGGAGATGGAATGGAGCTCGCCATCGCCACTAACAGTCCTTCCGGATCTCTCCTCATCGCTACACTCTCCCTAGTCTTTTGCCACGCCCTAAATGCTTACGTGATAAAAGGGAATGGGTTTTAGAGGATTTATAACTGGTTATCTCTTCTTTGCGTTGGCACCTGCTTGTCGGGACAAGTCATTCCTTGAAACTCTCCATTTTTTGTTTGCAAAGTTCTTTATGAAAAGACCCAATGTTACTTCTCTAAAAGCTGCTATAATTCAAGGAGTTTCTAAATTTTAAAAATAATAAAATTTTACTACATGAAAATTTAATTAAAACTGTTATGATCCACTACACTATGCAGAAACAGTAGAGACTCTGGTGTTCATGCCACAGACACCAAACCCTCGACACAACCTAAAATATCCATCTTCACCATAGTTCTCGCTCCAAGAATTCTTGAGGATCCAGTAGGGCTTATCACCATCCATGCCATAGCCAACAAGGAGCACCGCATGGTTCATGTTGTCCCCACCCGGGCAAATGCGAGGGCAAGCTACTCCACCCATATAATCCATTATGTAATTGGCATTGAGCGCAACTGCAAAGACCACATTGGAAACAACATTTTCTTGTCAACTTTTGCCAAAGAGCAACACGCTACTTACTCGAAAGAGGCCCATTTTTCACGAGATTTGCAGCGATCTGGTCCTCATCCTCAGACACTGTCAAGTAGTTTGCAATGGTGGCAGCCACCTTGCTTGGGTGGAAGCGGCATCGGTGACAGGGAAACATATACTCCTGTTTGTAAAGGTTATGACTAAAACTCTTCCAAATAGTCTAATGTGTGGTTAAGTGACTAAAATAGAATAGAAAATTTAATCACTTAGGCTCCACTTCTTCCAATAGATAACTTGCAAAAAAAATTTGATTGGAGGGAGTATCCTGTGAAGAACCAATTAAGTCCTTTTTCTATATGATCTTAAATCTCACATTTAAAAGTTCCAGGGAAGTTGTGGCTCTTGCTGGACTTTTAGCAGCACAGGAGCAGTGGAAGGTGCCCACTTTCTAAAGTCTAGAGAGCTTATTAGCCTGAGGGAGGAGCAGCTGGTTGACTGTGATCGCATGGTAATTCATTTTTCATAACTTGATCTGAATATGGTCATGCTGATCCATGATTACTTGGAACCAGGATGGTGGCTGCAAAGGTGGTGACATGTTAAATGCCTATGAGTATATCAAAGCCAAGGGTCTTGAAGCTGAGGAAGATTATCCTTACCAAGAAGAAAACATCTTTGCCACTTAGCCTTTGCACTTAATTCAAGTGCTCCATATGTCCAATCTTATGATAAACACCCCAAAGGTACTATTAACATCTCAACCCATTAAAGCTATATCCATTTATCTTTGTCTCATTGGTAGTTCAAAACCACCTATGCCATATTCCCATCTCTTAAAGGTTGGGTTATTTGTAAATAAGTGGTCATCCCAAAATTGCACCTTAGCATCCTTAAAATGCCCAAAGACATAAAAAACACTTTTTCCTAATGTCCCTTCATCAATCCCCACTAAATCCCTTTCCATCCATAACTGTGTTCGCTAACACCACCACTAAGTCAATGCCTGAATGCTTGAAGGTCTAACCATTAAATCTCATTGACCTCTTGAACTTCCTCACCATGTGACCATATCCTTGGTCATTACACAAGAGGACTATTCATCTTCTTTTCTATAGTTTGAGATATTAGAACAACATTGCAAAACACTATAGCCCTACTTGAGTACTCTCTTTACCTTCCACTATTAGTGCTCTAGCCATATGGCTAAAGCAAGGTTCCGATAAGCCACATTAGGTATCTAAGTAGGTAATGCCACCCATACTTGGATTGGGATCATTGACTATTCGATTTCCTAAGAGAACTAGAGCTAACTCTTGAACACTTCACCAAGTCGCCCCACTTGTTCATTTGTGTTCACTCTAGCTTTAGACTCTTCAATGGTTATATCATCACCCACCACATGAATACAACCTTAGTGTCACCTCAAAGCCATTTGGAAGAGGAAGTTAAAGCTTTGGTCACATTAGCCTTTCTTGGCCAAATTAGTTCCACTAGAGTCTTCCTTCTATATCTTTTTGGAGCTCAAACTAGTTTGGGAGACAATTGCTTTGGGATTTCATTCTTGGACTCGGACTCGAATTCGGTCTCAGTCTTGGTCTCGGACTTGGTCTTGGTCTTAGTCTCAGTCTTAGTATTGGTCCCTATCTAGGACTTCTTCTCAGACTCCATCTCAAACTCCATCTCAGATTTTTTCTCGGACTCCATCTCAGACTCCATCTTGGAGTTAGTCCCGACACTTCCCTGTGTCATGACACTTGCCATATATCGGTCCCTCTTGTATCCTTTTTTAGAGACTCATTTACCAATCATTTTATACTTATTCCTTGAACACTTTTTTAGAAGTTCCACTCTCACTCTTGACTTTTCGAGTTGGAGCTTTTGGTCCAAATGTGTTACCCTCATTGGACTTTTGCTTCAACCATTGCTATATGACACTCTTCCAACTCTACTTTGGGGCATAAGGATTTCTGTCTTACAACTCCACCACCCATTTAATATCCTCAAACTATTTTATAAAGACCCTATCATGAATTACCATTTTCATCTTTAGCACCAAACTAATATTCGTCAATGGTGCAACACCAAAGGACTCACAAAGAAATAAAATTCTGATGGTTAGATCACCTCAAAGGTAGGGTTTTCCTTAATTCACTTGCTGCTTAGGTCTGAAGGTGTGTTCCTAGTGGAGCTTCATCTTCGTCACACATAACTTCCAGAAAGTTCTTAATAGATTCTGAGGCGTGAATATATACAGATTTTCAATGGCCTATCGTCTAAATTTACCAGGTTGAAGGAGCAGCATTTTTATTCTTCTTTCTTTTGTTTCTCTTGTCCTGATGAAAAACTGTTTGCAGCCAAGGAAGATCTAGTGAGTGCACACAGCACAGACTTATCACACTCAGCAACAATGATTGCATTTGAGCCGGTCCTTCCAGTGTTACGGTACCAATTCCTACTGGAAGTGATGATGATCCTTCAAAAGGTCCATTCATTTTGGCATTCAAGGATGAGGCAAGTTGAAGCCGTGCATAGCAGTACTGCGAAAAACAAATTACTTCACAATGCAAGGTACATAAGCATTAGAAATTGCATAGGAGCACCTACTCACTTTGTTTTTTCTAGGCTGCTACTATGAAGGGTTGTTCAATCACTGCCTCAAAGGCTTACCACTCCCCCTGGTGAAAGCATTTGTCCCAAATTTTAAATATAGCACAGAAGACTGAGAAGCTTGCGAGAAGAAGGCCATGATGGCTTGTCTTGCTGCATCTAGATGAGACAGGATTAAGTTCGCAAGGGGAGTTTGCAAAGAGGTGTTCAGTGATGTAAGGATAGCAAACAAGTGTGGAGGGGAACTCCACGAATACCAAGATGAGCAAGCATGGAGAAACCATTGCTGCCTAGGGACTTGAACCTCCTCACGCTCCGATGCTAATTGTCACCATGGCTGTCTGGAGGTTCGTCCTCCTTAGCGCTGGCTTCTTCAACAATGCCATCATTGTTCTCTATCACACTACTACTTTCTCTTTACTTTTTATCAAGCATTCTTTTGTATTTCATCTCCCCCCTCACAAAGGGTCATAGCCCTAGGATTATTACTAATCCCCCACTAATTAATCACATTTAGTCTAAAACAAAAGAAAAACCCATGATTTTGATTTTGTCTCCGATTAGAGCACACTCTAGCCCTTGACAACAAGCTCCAGTTTGCTGGTCCACAAGGATACACAAACAGATCAACAAAGAACACATCGACAAGCAACCACAACCAAGTCTTGATCGAGAATCCAGGCTCCAAACTTTAGAGGGAGGTCTCTTACAGATGGAGTAGATGACAAGCATTACCAAAGCTCTCTAGGGAAGCAAATGCTCAAGGATGGATGAAAAGGTGGTCTGGTCTCTCTTAAAAAGAAGAGTGATGCAATAGCAGCAGGAGTAATGGATTGACCAAAACTGTGGCTCGAGTTTGTGAGTGAAGCTGTGACAAAGCTAACGAAATCTTTCAAGGACTAAAGGAAAGAGGAAGAGAAATAATTATGGGCTCATATTCCAAGTTCATCAAGCTCCCTGGCAAAATTGAACTGGGTTAGGTAAGTGGTGTCTGGAACACAGCCATGCTTGGACCCAGTGGCAGTGAGTTTGCAGCTGGGAGTGTTAAGACTGCATGGCTTTACAAGTGACCAAACTACACGAAGAATTTGCTGCAAAAGCATTGGAAATTGAATTCCTCATTAGTTGTCTTGAATTTTGTAACACACAAGAGGAGTACAGTGAAAGTTCCACTTGGCACTGCAGCTGAATAGCAATGCCTTGGATGTCCAGTTTTACAACCAATATGGATGGCCAAGACTAATCTTGCAAAACATTTGTAGCCAACTCAAATCTGAAGCAATCAATTGTTTTCACTTTTGAAGATGAGTACCTTTCAATTGTGCAGCAATAAAGAGTTTATCAAGAAGCTTTCCAAGGCTGCAGAGTTTGATATTTTAAGGTGGAGAATATTACACATTTTTTCTTTAGTAAAGGTCAAAAGAGAATATTCACAGTAGAGTCTGATGGGCAGTACTTGGCATGATCAAGGAGGTGTCGCAGGTATCTTGAGATATTCAGTAGATCTGTGTGTCACACATGACCTAGGAAGAGTCTTGGTTACTGTTGCTTGCATAAAAAATAGTCAATATTAAATTTAACATAGTACATACAATGTGTCTACAAATGTATATACAACTTTAAACAAAAGATAATATTTTTAAAAGAGAGATACTATTACTAAAAGAAAATAATTAAGACCACTATAAAATAATTTTATTTAGAAATCTTAAATATGTTATTTTTAGCATTTATAATCCTATTTTTTGTAGATATGGTTTCAAGTGCAATAATTTGGGGAGATAATTACACATTACTTCAAGATGAAGTTGATATAATTATTGAACATGGATTTAGAGTACTTGAAGCACAAATTAATAATTCATTTCCTGATTATTCTTCTACTTATGACAATTGGATGTCTGTTAATTTTGGTAGAGGAGCTGCTCTTTTAATGATAAATCGTATGGAAGCAAATCCTCCAAATTGTTTATTTGGTAAGGATAAATTTGAATATACAGTTAATGGTCGTGCACTTAGAAGTGGATTTCGGTCATTAAGAAATATTTATACTGATGCAATGCTAAAAGCACGCTCTAGTATGTGTGATATTAAATCTTTAAACTATAGAATTGCATATGCTATATATTATTGGGGGAATATTACTGATGATATTTACAGTTCAAAATCTTTACATACCATTTCTTATAAAGATCCTAAAACTTGTGATACTACAAAAAGTACATTAATTTCAGGTTTTTATAAGCATAGCTTAAGAACTTCTGAATATTTAATATCTCCAAATGGGAAAAATATACTTTTTATATCAACAAACTGTAAACTTGTATTATATTCTGGTCAAAAACTTGTGTGGATATCTAGAGTTATAAAAACATATATTGGATTTTGTGAACTTACTTTACAAAATGATGGTAATCTTGTATTAAATTCAAAATTTAAAACAGTAATTTGGTCTAGTGATAAATATTGCATTAATCAACCTTATTGTTTATTTCTTACATTCATGACAATACAAGATGACTGTAATCTTGTAATTTATTCACTAAAATCACCAAATCATGTTTGGTGGTCTACAGGAACACAAAATCATCCTAATTGTGTAAAATGATATATTTACCATTAATTTAAACTTGTTAACTAATGATAAAGATATATTTTAAAATACATTATGCCAAATAGTTTATATATTTAAGATAGTTGACTAAAGACTTTTATCCTTTCATTTCAACTCTAGTGTATATAGCTTAATGAATTTAGTAATATTTCTTATTATGAGTGCTTAAGATATGGGATAAATATATTAATTTGGGTTTAGAACCTTGCTTATATAGAAAAATAGATAGACCAGATTCAGTCTGAAATAGACAGTTAATATGCTATACTACAAAAATTAGCACCATATACATGTATGTATTTAAAGACCTTACACTATCCTTCCTCTGGAAAATGAAAAAATGATAACATACATCAGGTGGATTCAATATTTTTGGAATTCAAATTAATTTTTTTTCTTTGAATTCAATTAAGTTCAATTCATTAAAATTTTGAATTTAAATTTGAACTGTTCAATTAGCATCACAAAAAGTTATAGAGATTTTAACTCCTTATGTCATTATAATAAATTTTATTAAAATCAGAATAAACTTGATTAGAGATCAATTGATAAAATAAAAAATTAAGATTAGTTTAAGAGATAATTCAAATATTTTTCTAGTGATATTATTAATCTAAGTGGTTAATATGTTATAATAAACACTTAAAATGATTTTTTACTTCTACCTCTCCCCTCCCTCTCCTCTCTCTCTCCCACACCTCTTCCTCCCCCTCCCCTCCCCTCTCTTCTCTTCTCCTTTCCTCCCCCTCTCACTCCTGATAGCAGCTCTATCGTGCGCAAAGGGAATTGGGCAATATTTTTCTATAGGCATTGACGGCCTTGTTGCTGCCATGGCCAAGGCTGGCAGGATGTATGGGCACCCAGCTCCTCAAGAGCCAGTAGGGTGGTTGCTCTAGGCATCCTTGACAAGGAAGAAACAACGAGAGATATTTTTACCTTTTGTGATTTCCACACATACATGAATGTGACATAAGAAAGGCAATGTGAGAGTAGTGCACCATGACAGATTTGATCGGCGTAAAGAAATTTCTACCATACCTAGCAAGTGGATGGCCTTAAACACCTTCTTGACAGACCGTGATCTGATCTCCTAGCTAGTTTCATGAGCTTCTTTGGATCATAGACAAAGATCATCACAACAGCGCAGCATGGTAACTCACAGACCTAGATATAGCAAACCTCTGGGTGTGATTGATAGGCCTTGACTGAGGCTAATGCCCATCAGATCATAATTGTGATGAACTATATGACTAGCACAATTGAAATTCTCAAGATGAGCTATGGATTGAGTTATTCATAGGATGTCCGAGTGGTGAGCATGAAAATCCAATGTGAACGAGATCTAATCCTTCCAAGCCGGATGCGGCCGATTGTAAGCTCCTATCGAGACATTCCGAGAGACCAGATTCCTCGCAGGCATTGAGTCCAGGTTGTGCCTAGTGCAAGCACTGCAATCCTCGCCTCATCTTCAAATGCTGGTGATCGGTTGCCGATGCCACACAACACAATGGTTGCAGCTTAAGCCCAGAATGGGCATCTGTACCTGGTGGAGACAATGTTGCGAGGGATGGAGATCCGAAAATTAGTGTCAGAATCCGCTCTTGATTGGCTACGCAGTCTATACAAGTGTGAAAGGATCTTTCTGAAGATGCTGCAGAACTAAGTGATGTCAATTTGGTATTTGCAGAGAACTTGGATGCCACTAAGTGTCTGTTCAACGACATCCATTAGTCACTAAAGATGGTTTTATTCCCATATAGAAATATTAGATTATTACACATGAACCTTTTCTAAGGGTTTTGTAATTTGCAAATTATCTAATGTTTTATAATTTCTAATATTAATCGTATGATAGAGACACGGTGTCTTCTCTTGCTAGGTGGGGTTAGGTAGTGCAGCTTGTATGTATGACCCAACATGGCCCTCTCCCTTTGGTATCTCTCTCTCTCTTCTAAAGCAGAGTATGGAAGAAACAGCAGGTGTGTTGTCCAAGTCCTACCATTTTGAAAATTTGTCTATACATGCTTGCACTTAGAGTCATTGTGGAGTGTATTTTCTTCTTTTTTTCCCTCTTTTTTCCTTGTGCAAGGGATTTCTCCAAGCATCACTTTCACAACCCCAACCAATTTCCCTGTGTGTATGATGACTTGAAGCAGAGGTATAGCAGGCTATAGCAGTGTGCTTGTTTACAAAGTAAGTGACTGACTGACTATAGGGCCTTCTCCTCTTCACTCACCAAAATCCAAAATTTTATTAGCCTACATGCCACAGTATGCCTCAGTTTGCAAGGAAGTATAGTGGCGCTATTACTTGATTGCAATGCAGCATCTAACACACCTCTGCAAGAGAATCATGTCACCACAAGTTGTGGTTGCTTGGCCTTCTTCTTTCTCTCTTGTTTCTCCTTCTCTAGGCCTTCACATTGGTGGAGCTCGCATTTCTTCCAATGCTCAAGAGGCTCAATTCCAATTCCTCTGCTCACGATCATGATCATACTGCTGCTGCTGCTGCTGCTGCTCAGTCTCCAAGATTTGTGTTTGAATCCAAGATGACAGTGCTGCTCCAGGGATTTGGGGATTCACCCCCTGCAAAGGCCACCAGCAACAATTCTTCTGCTCAATCGATCTCCTCGGAGATTGGAAGCCTCTTGTGGCATCACAAGTTCTACTCCAACAACAAGAACATCCGATTCTGGCTCCCAATTGCGCTGTTGCCCCTCGTCTTGCTCAACAGCTGCTTCATTTACTTTGTCTTTGTCCGTGGCAGCGAGAATTCCCAGCTCTCTGCGCCCGTTGGAGCTCCAATTCTCCCAGATCTCCAAAACTCCTCGATTTCCGACGAGATTCACCAGTTCCCCGCATTGCCAGGCAGCGATCTCGACACCCAACAACAAGATACTCCCTCGAATTCAGGTAATTTGAATTGGGAAAACCTTTCCAGGTACTAAAAACAGGGGAAGTGCTATAGAAAGCTGCGATTTGAGCAAGGGCGAGTGGATTTTCGATTCTACACCACCTCTTTACACGAATTCCACCTGCGATCACATCCAGCTCCTCCAGAATTGCCTCAGAAACGGCAAGCCCGACACGGGCTACCTGCATTGGCGATGGCGACCTCACAACTGCGACCTCCCGCGATTCGACCCCGCCACCTTTCTCGAGCTCATGCGGGGCAAAAGTATGCTCTTCTTCGGAGACTCGCTCGCCAGGAACCACATGCAATCGCTCCTTTGCTCCCTCTCCCAGGTGAGTTCCTCGAATCTCGATTCTTACGAGCCATGGGAAAGATTTACTAGAAGTTGATCGAAATTTTTCAATGTGGTCACATAAAAAAGGTGGAGAGACCCGACAAGGTGTACTCACGAGAGGACAAGGACGTGAAATGGGGCTTCCAATCCTACAACTTTACGCTCGCCATCGTCTGGTCGCCATTCCTTGTCAAGCACGTCAAGGTTCGCGACGATCCACTCCTCTTCAATCTCCACTTAGACGTCCCACACCCGGCATGGTGGCCATCGCTCGCGAGCTACGATTTCGCGGTCATGTCCGCGTCCCAGTGGTTCTTCCGCCCAAGTCTCTACTCGATCAACAACACCATCTTCGGCTGCAACGAGTACTCCCGCGAGAACTACACCGACGTACATTTCCTGACGGCGATGGAGCTCGCATTCCGTACGTCCCTCCGCGCCATCGCCACGCTGGACGGCTACAATGGGACCACGTTCCTCCGTACGGCCTCGCCGGAGCACTTCGAGCACGGGACGTGGAGCACCGGGGGGAAGTGCAACCGTACGCGGCCGACACATTCCGTACGCGATGCCGTACACGGCGGCGGCGGTGAGTTGGAGCTGCCGTGGCTGCCGAGCAATCTCAACCGTGTGCAGCGCGACGAGGCCCGGAAGTTTGACCCATCCAACGGCTCCAGGCTCCGGGTGCTGGACGTGACGTACAGCGCCTACCTCCGGCCCGACGGCCACCCCGGGCCATACAGGATATACCAGCCGTACGCGAAAGAGCCCGGCCGCCACGTCCAAAACGATTGCTTGCATTGGTGCTTGCCGGGGCCTGTGGATATGTGGAACCAGCTCCTCCTGGAATCTGTGAAGAAGTTGGAGAGAGACAAGGAAGAGTAGATCATATAGAATAGCTTTCTTCTTTGGTTCTAGGAGTGGTCGAGGCTTTCGTTGGCTGGACCAACCAGCCATACTTTGAAGAAAATGAAAGAAAGAGGAGAATGGTGACTGTCCAGCGACCAGTGGAGAATTTCTTCGAGTAATGTAGTCAAGAAGAAGCTGTCAATCGCTGGAAGGTTTTGAATCGAGAATGTGGCTTATTACTTCTGGAAGAAAAGATACACGAAGAAACATGAGATCCCCGAACATCAAAACAGGCTTAATCGTCGTCGTCACTGTCGTAGCCGGAGTGCTCCAGCTCGTCTCTCATTGCCTGGAGATGGGGAGGAGAAATCGGCTCCACCATCTTAATCGATTCACTAGGCACGCACTTGATATGGATGACGCCGTTTGCTGCCATGGCCTTGAGCTGAGCCTTGCAAGCTCCCTCGTCACCGCCAAACACTTTGCTACAAACAGTCGCCCATTCCACGGCTCCATCCCTGTCCACCAAGAGCTCCATCACTCGCTTAAACATCTCGACATCCCACCTTAAGCAATTCAAACAAGCTGTGAGCTCCAGAAAACAACAACAGTGAAGATCTAGCTTCTTACCCTTGATCGTCGCCTTCCAATCCAAAAGAAACAAGAGATGCCACCGATGCGGCCATGGTGCCAAGAGAGTTGTCCAGTGGCATGATGTTTACGGAGAACACTTGATTTGCGCAACGCTTTAACAGCAATGGACAGCCGCCGCAAACTCGATAGATCTTGCCCCACTCTTCGTCATTCAAAGAAAGAACTCGAGGTGGAGCTGCTGGAGGGGGAAGAGGATTACCGCAACTCCACCTCCACCATCGCCGCCACCATCCATGTCCCGGGCTACCGCTGCTACTACTCACTTGACTAACTAGTAAACCACTAAAAAATTCCCTGGCCTGCGCTTCACTGAAGTGATCTACATAAATAAGCTCCGTAAATCTATCCCCAATCCAATCCTCCCGCAAGGAATCGTCCCAAGATGCCATGATGATCGTCGCAATCTTGTCCTGTGCAATCCTTAAGAGATTTCTAAAAAGCTCTGCTGCTCCAGGAAGAGCTTTGATCTTGTGAGCACAATCTAGAATGAAAACTGGGGCTTTCTTTCCTTTCTTCCTGCGTGCCAAGCCCAGCTCCCTAAGCACAGCATCTAAGCCTTGCACTAGAAAGTTTTCTACTCCAGCCTGCCATTGCAATACCTGGTCCTCTATATCCATCCGCATGTCCAGGAGAAAGATTGGGAGCTCACTCGTAGCCCGGAATTTCTGGAGAAGTGCCGTCTTGCCAGAGTTCTTTGGGCCCAAGACCAACACAACTCGCTCGGCGCCTACCAACTGTGATAACGCATCCAGCTCCTTTTCCCTGCCAAAGAACGCCATCGGTTTGAGGTTTAGGGTTGAGAGGCTTTAGCATTTTATAGAGGATATTTCTTTAAAGGTTTTCTTTAATGTCTCCTAAATTAAATATAAATAATATTATTAATAAAAATTAATTTTTTTCTTAGCTTGGAATATTCGTCCAGAATTTAGGGCAACCAAGTTCTTCGCATTTTCTTCCATCGATCGAGGGAAGGCGGCCCAGCAAGGTCCCGGACTGTTTCGCGGCGTTGAGATCGTGTTGCAGCCCCGTGGAGCTGGAGCGCGGGAGGAGGCTCACTCCACGCGGAGGCGATCGACGGCGGCAGCAGCACGAATCTCTTCGTCTCCAGCGCGCTACATGTACGCGCGATGTGGCAGCCTCACCGCGTCTTTGACCGGATGGTTTGCCACAACGCAGTGGCGTGGGCGTCGCTGCTGCTCGGCTATGCCCGGCAGGGGCAGGGGGAGCTCGCGCTGGAGATCTTCGCGGGGATCCAGCGGAGGCAGGGGTGTGATCCCAACTCGCGGTGCTTCGTAGTGGCGCTCAAGGCCTGCTCGAGCTGTGGCATGCGAGAGAAGGGCCAGGAGATCAGTAGAAAGGTGGTGAAAGCCGCGGCTCTGGAGAGAGGGATGGAGATCCATGCACAGGCTTGTGAAGTGAATATATTTAAAATATGCTTGGATATTCTAGAATATTATACTAGTTATTCATTTAGATTAATCTTGTATTTATAATTTATAAACATGTTTATAATTTATAAAGTCTTCTAAACATTTCCTAGTATATTCTAGTTTATTCTGCCATCTAATGGTTGATTTTTAATAAGATTAATCTTGTGTTTATAAATCATAAATATGTTTATAATTATAAACCTCTATTTGATCAATTAGATTAATTAATAGAAATAACACTAATTAAACAAACTAAGCGTTGTTGTATGCAACATGCAATAAATTTTTCTTTTATGTGGATGCATAAAATATAAAAATGGAATACAAAAATGTATATATCTGATTAAGCCAAAAACCTTAGATTATATAATGGTCCAGATTAAAATAAATCCAATGGCCCCATTACACTAATATTAATATATGGTATTATACACTTCGACTTCACATTATCCTTAGAAAGATAGAAAGTAGTTAATTAAGGTTTTTTGGTTGATAGGCCAAAATCTAGAGGAATATTAAGTGGATTTGTAGGCATTTTTGGAGGATTAGCATATTGAATATCATACTAAACCTCATAAACTTACCATTTGATACAATCCATTGAGCAAGGAGCTCTTTGGATAAACTATGTATTATAATAGTGGAAAAACAAAATAACACTAAATCAAATATTTTGTATTTTATACGTGGACAATGATGGAAGTTATAGTGTTGTTATTGTCCTACTTATAACTCAAGTGTTTAGTAGATTTTGTTTGAATTAGTTGAAGAATGTTTGTTAAATATTAATCCCATGACCTAGCATTGGCAGTTTGTGACAATTGTGAAGGTATACTTAACTCCATTAGTAATATTAAATTTATATAGTGAAGCATCAATAAAACTTTATACCTCTATAATTAATATATATATATATATATATATATATATAGACACACACACACACACACTAAAGAGATAGTAAATAACCATCATAATTTAAATGTTGAAAGTTCAATATACTTCATGATCATCCTTCTTAATGTCTGAACAAACCATTCCACTAAACCATATATCTATGAATAATAAGCATGAGTGAAAGTGTAGTGTATCCTCAATTAAAACATTAAAACATGAAATGCTTTAACCATAAATACTAAACTATTATTTAAAAGAATCCACTGTAAACACCACTCGATTGAGGAGGAAGTATTTAACAATAATCATAAGTATACTAGCAAGAGCACCAACTTCCACCCAACAACACAATAAGTTAAATATTATGGCGTTTTTTTTTTTTTTTAATGTTTATGGCTATCCACACTAAAAGTGGTATTAGAGTGTGGTTTTTTTTGTGATGTTATTGGAAAGTGGTTTTTTAAAAGTATTGTGGTATTTGAAAATGGCTTTTGGTTGTTATATAGTTATGAGAGTGTCTTATGAATAAACTATGGCTTTTTAAAGTGGCTTTTTTCAACATTATGGCAATCAGTGTGTGATAGTTCATGGCCTCTTTTTACCTTAGAAAAGTTTTCTTACATTTTTTTGTCCTTGAAAAACAGAACATGAAAATGACATAGATTCAGAACAAGTACACAAGGATAACACACTATAGCAGTAAGGAAAGGAAAAGAAACTAAACTGGAAGACATTTAGTTATTAGCCCTTGTGCATTTGAGAACCTCCTCAAGCATCCTTTCTATAACTGTGATTTGGCCTTTCACTATTTGGAGCTCTTTGTAGACCTTCTCATATTCACTTATTGCAATGTTAAAGCCATTGGCCAATTCCTAGATGGCAGGGCTAATCCACAACACATCTTGAACAGCTTCCAACTACTTCTTTATCTCCTCTTTCAGTTCAGGATCATTTAGACACTTGATCTCCCAAACAATCATCCCTGGAATGCTGCTCAACACTAACATGTGTACAGAAACCTCAAAAAATGGAGCAAGTAAACTGGAAATAGGGCATCTGAAGTGCTGAAGTGAAGTGGTTTTTTTTGTGTGAAATGAATGTGGCCTTCTGAAAGAGTTATGTAGACATATGTTTTGAACAAATCATAACTAAAAAAATTTATAGTATGTAATTTATTTGCAGTCAACCAACATATACTTAAGCTTCCCATCTCTATCACTACTTACTTGAGTGTTTTTGGTGCATCATAAATTAGACCAGCCAATGAACATAAGAACTCTACTTGCAACTTCATATCTACCAGCATTGCTCAACACTAAAATGTGCACCTTCATTATCTTCTGTTGATGTAACACTGAATGCACTACTGCAAAACCATACTTCTGTACCTCCACAATGTCATCAACTTCAACTTGGATGTAGCCATTTTCACTTCTAGTGCATAATATGAACTGCTCAACTTTTGACCAAAGTTACTTTGTAGTGCATATGGTTTTCACCTTTTATTCTATGGTGATTTACCATAGGATAACCATCTAAAACCTCCATATGCCACATGTTATATGCCACGTGCCATATGCCACATGTCCAAAGACAGTGGAGCGAAACCCAAGTTTTAGGGTCTTAGGCCACTGAATGAAGGAATGGAGCCAAACTCCTTAACATGGAGCCAAGGCACAAAGGTATTAAAGCACGAAGCGATTCTTGAGTGTACAGCCCAAAGAACAAATGGACAAAAGGACAGAGCGACTTGAAATAGTCTTAGAGTATCCAATATCACAATGTTAGGATTAACATGCAAAATAGAGCCAAATGGAGTTTGGCATTATTTCAATATACTAATAGACTAATGCAAAGATATAGGTACTCTATTAATTAGTATGGTATAAAACTTAGGCTTAGACCCAAACCAAATGCAAAACAAAGATAAGCACACAAACAGTAGCTAAACTATGCCTCAGGTTGGTCAGCTATGCTTGACCTACTCACTATCCCTACTATATATTTGGAAAACCCCTATAGCCCCCCCTCCCCTCTCTTAAAGAATGCACATTTTGTGCTTTCACCCTTAGTACCAAAAGTTAGTCTATGGGACAAACTTGAAACTTATTAAATATGGAATGGCATTAGATTGTAAATTTGGAAATAGAAAGAGCAACATTATATTTAGGACAATCTCTATATTCCATAGATATGTCTAACTAGTAAATTTAGACACTTTCCATAAATAGCCAATAGGACTAAAATGAGATTAACACAAGGGACATGATAGCGAGAGTGTTTAATAGACATGATAAGTTATCACCTAACAAGTATTAAGGGACCAAACTCAATATTGCGAAGGTTTTTATCAAGCTAATGCAATACAGAGTAAAAGAAAACTAATAAACTGAGCCAAATATGTTTGGATAAATAGACACTTAAGAATTCCTTCCTTATGCTTGTCCGACCAAGTACAAATGCTAAATCAAGTTTACTAATACTTGAACAAAAGGGACTGATAAAGGGTTCAACAATACTGACTTTTTGCTGTCGTGTTAGTAAGAAAAGAATATCCGAAAGGAGTTAGCAATAAATAACTTTCGATACCCATAGTCATATATGTGATATTCATATAATGCACCCTATGTATAGAAAGTCTTTAGTGGCTATTTTATCCCTATTTATCCCCCAAGGTTCCAAGGATCCATAGTGATAATATATTTAAATCTCATCCCATGATCACACTCTTTCGAGATGTTAATGTCCTCATTGATTATTGATTAACAACCTTTATTAACCCAAGAGGAACTAACACCTCCATTTCTACATTGAATTTACTAATACCTTCATTGTATAGACCAACTATTCCATATGAGGCAATTAGTTATCCACTCGTACTATAGTGCCACAATGGATAGATGCTCCACAAGAGGAAAGATATATGCATGGATGCCTAATACATATGATTTCAAAATTTAAGGGTAAAAATATATATTGTTTAAGGGTATATTATATTTTAAGTAGTCACTAATTAATGGGAATTGAACCTATGCCATTTTCTCTGATACCACATGTAGTGCACTCTATCTTTCTCCCCTTAAGCCAACTATAAAAAGGACAATTGCTTAATGAGAAAGTTTTTAATAACTATCTATC